ATTGCACATTTTGTTCACTTAGGTATAATCTGACAATCTATCTATTTTAGGATCTGTAGAATAATATATTGAAATTCTATTTTGAAGGGCATTGCACGTTTTGGCCTTAATTGCACGTTTTTGGTTTTTGTTGCATGATATTTCAGATTTTACAATTTAAGGACTAAATTTTATTTTTATAAGTATAAAATAAAATACTTGAACCAAATTTTCATTATAACATGTACATAGGTATGCATGTAAATAATAGGGTGTATAAAAAAAATTACCGTTTTATCAAATTCAAGATTTCAAAGCAAGCACAGTAAATATTTTAATCCTATTTAATAATTACCAATACTTAATAATCCCTTTAGAGCTTTCTCTGAGCTTGTGTAGTTCCATTTGACTTCTTAAAAAAATTTGATACATTTGTGGAAGTTGAAATTGCAATCCAGGAGTTTTTTGACAGCCATCTCAAAGAATGGTATCAGTGTGGGATCAAGCAATTGCCTAGCAGATGGTTAATTATGGTAGATAATACTGGACTATTAATTATGGAGTATTAATTGTATTTTATATCAAAGAAATAATAATACAAATATATGATTGATAAACGGTAATTTTTTTTATACACCCTATTATTCATTTGCATATTTTTTATTTTATATAAGGTTTGTAGTTGAGAACAGGGGGGTTCAACCCATGGACAATATAAATCCTGAAATAGTTTTCATATATTTGGTTTTCAAATTTTTTATTGAAGTAACATTTTCAAGTTATCTTTCTGGGATCAAAAGATATTTTAGACTCATATTGTTTGATATAGATAACAAAATTACTCTCCAAGTACACATATTTTATTGAATAAGTAATAGTATAATTTGGGGTAACATATTTAATAATTTAATTTAATGCATGTAAATATAGTCACTTACAGAGCCCCTTATCCTCGTAGTTCTGTTATTCACAGTTCCAAAACATGCATATATTTATTTTACAATTTTCAAACAAAAAATTATAAAAGGTTTTGTAAACAAACGTTTTATTGCAGCTTGGCTGAATGTTCTTTGACATAACCCTGCTGGGTCCCGCAAGAAAATATGGATTTTAATAAATACTAATAATAAACTAATCTTTCATATAAAATTAGGTTAATTGTCTTTAATTTTAAATTAGAATTAGATTGTTCTCACTTTACTGCAAGTTATACCTTACTTCAATTTAGAGGCTATAACTCTTAACATATTAAACAAAAATTAATATTATAAATTAAACAAATACTATGATTTTTGCATGTTATGTATATTACACATAACTTTTGGAGTTTTTACTGCACGTGTTTAATTTATTAAGCCAATCCCTTCCACGGCTTTCAGGGATATTGACATAATAATTCTGCTATTGGGAACTGATTCTTATTTAACTGCTGTGGACTTTATAAGTAAGGGAATTTGATTATAAGTAAACTATGGAGTTAAATGGATTGCTATATGATTGATATATATTACAATGTGAGTTATTGAGGCCCAGAGCTATCACCATGTTGGTTAATATGCTAATAAATTTTGATTTGTATATTATGAATTATTGAAGTTGAGGTGGATTAGGTGGGTTGAAGGGTAGTGGCTAAAAATTACTGCTAGGTACTTTCTTCTTTTCTCCATTTGATGTTTTCTCTCTTCCTGGCCATCGGGCCCCTTGCTGGGCTGCTAAAGCTGCTACTACATTTTTATTTTTATTAAAAAAGGTGCAGATGTTAAATTGCCTGCAGGCCAGCTATGTCTTCTGTCTTAAGTGGACATGAATGTTGTAGGAACCCTTTATGTCTAGAATCATATCTCTCTGCTTCTCTTGCTTGCCGAGAAATGGCAGTGGTGCTGCTTGCTTTTTCATTTAATATAAATAAAATGAAATGCGAATTTTGTTGTATTCCCTTAATAGCACGATTTTACACATTTTGAGTTTTATATTGCACGTTTTTCGGTTATTTACTGCATGAAAACCCGGTCTGTATTCATAAGTCATTAGTCATAATCAGTCCATGAGAACTGTGTACTCAGTATAGAGTTTCATTATAATCATATTTTTGAACTTATACTTAACACAGTGGATTTGGAATAATTTACCCATCAATTATTTTAAGGCAACCCATCTAAAATATGAGTGCCAAGTTTTATTAATATTCGCCTATTTTTATTAAATAAAGATCGAAACCTCTCTATATTAAAGGAGCCTTACAACTTGAAACTATAAATTACTGAATAAATAAATAAAATAAATTAATAAATTAATTAATTAAATTACTGAAAGACTTACAGTATTTCAAGTCATCGATCTATAATGTCTATATACTTTATTCAACCAATCCTTTAAAATCTGCCCATTTGTTTCAAAGTAATGCAAACATACAAATTTTTATAATATTTGGCCCAGTCATACTCGATTTATGAACCTATTGTTATCAGCTTATATAAAATTGTAAAACATTAGGTTTCTTCAAAATTAACATGTTTTCTTGAATCTTACTGTTAATAAATATTTTACAGATTGATATGTACAAATTTTATATTAATAAAGTTCAATCAAGTCTAATCAATAAGTCACAAATATTTTTTAGATGTACTTTTTACCATTTTTTGGTTATCTTGTTTCTGTGCTTGGGACATTTGATGGCCAAGATGGTCTCCAAAGGATTTAAATTGATTTCACGTTCACATTTTTTAATTAACTATACAATTAATTTTATAAATATTTTTTAAAAAATAAAAGCACCTTTGTTGTTTTTCTGTAAAAATATTTTGCATGTAGAGCTGGCCTAAAATGGTTGCTGATTGAGAAACTCAGTCCATTTTGTCTTTTTATCACCACAGGTGAGCGAGGTGAGCATAACAATTAAAACAATAACAATTAAAATATGATCCTTATATAATTTTTAAAATAAATAGATTATCGATGACAATAGATTTTTTAAAATATTATTTTTGGTTTTCTCGTCTTTACATTACTTTTTAATTAATTTATAACTATATTACCATGACCAAATTTTATACATTCATAGCATGTAAAATATATTATTTTACATTTTTATAATGTAAAGTTATTATATTCTACAGTTTATATTTGATCTATTTTTTTATTATTTTGATACCAATTTTCATAGATAAAGTAAAGTAATATTTTTTATAATACTGTGCATTCTTCATGTTGCTTAAAAGTAATAAAACTATATAACAAAATATATATATAAAGTTTTCAATGTAAAATTAATTAAATACTGATACATTGTTGCATCTAACCAATTTATTTTATGATTGATTAATAATTATTCAAGAATAACTAAATTGTTTTATATTATCCAATATATATTTAAGCAGAATAATCAATTGATTTATTTGAACTTGTTATTATTAGGTATTGATTTACCTTTATTGACAAAACAATCACATTCTGAAATTAAATGTAGTAATAAAACCTGTATTATTTATTTTATTTCAGAGGGAGTCCAATTTTTACTTATTAACTCTATATCAATATTATGATTTACATTTTGTTACTAAGTGAGAAATGTTTCTACAATTAACTTAATTTTATTCAATGCACTGTTTTTTTTTAGTTTTTTTATTTTCACTACCTAACGTTTCAATTTATATGTTGATATTAAATTTATAATCAAGTTTAGTTTTAAAAGTGAAATTCATTCACAATATCTATATAATTGGTATTTGTTTCAAAAGCTATTGCATAGATTTTATTATGAATTATTGAAAGAAGTGACTTATCATGGCTAAGTATTTCAACTAAAGGACTTAACTGTAAAAGTTGTTACTACTCTAACTTTAAGTTTTAGTTGTTGCAAAGTTAATAAGAGTACTTAATCCTCCTGAAATTTTGTAAACATTTTATGTGTTCATGTTTTAATTTAACTAGTTCTGAGTTAAAACTAGTTAAACTAGTAGAGTTAAAACTAGCTAGTTCTTAATGAAAAGCAATGATAATAACATAATTAAGTTCATATAGTTAAATATATATATTTCAAACCATTGATGATACTCTGTAATAAAGTAAATCATATTAATTAAGAATGTTCATTTTAATTTATAAAAGATACATTCTCACATTAAAAATTATAGTTGTATATGCATAAAAACTTTTTAAAAATCTATAGTTGTGTATAAACTATTGATGAAAGCACAGGTCAGTGATAACATTATATTCAAATATTTTCTTTCCAAAATTATCACCCCTTTGGTTCTCAAAGGCCTACAGCTCTGATATTTATATCAATACCTTCTAATAAATAATATTTAAAACTTTTGAAAAAAAAATTTTTTTAGTATTTATTATTTAATTAAAATTACACTTTTACTTGATAGCAATACAAAATATATAATATTGCTGTAACAATATTAAATATCGTTAAACAGATATTAAAAATAATATTTAATACTTATTTATTTATTATTATTTACCAACTTTGCTCGATATTAGTCCTAGCATTTGATAAATATCATCCTTGCCATGGGCGTTTTGGATAAAGTAATCAACTGACTGAAAACTATATTACTTTAAAATGTATAATGAATTTCTTATTTAGTTATTGATCAATACAGAAAAAAAAATAGGAAGTAGAAATTTGTTCAATTATTTCAAACTTACAATATGGTATACAAATTTCTGTTTTCATAGCTGGCTTTGCTCTATTATCAGCTATTTGTTTTCCCATTGGTTATTTAAATTTTAAAAATTAAGATTTGTTTCTTGCAAATTTAAAATTTTAATAAAATATATTATAATCACATTTTTGAAATTATTTCAGAAATTTAAGTGTAAAAATTTAATTGTTCAGGAGGAATTTTAATTTATCTAGATTAAAACTATAGTATGATAATAATTATTTTAAATCATTTTGATGACTTTATATGATATTATTTTAGAATAGAGGAAATTAATTATTGAAAAAAAAACACAATAATAGTTTTACAATAAAATTTAATTACCAACAATAAACAATACTTAAAGCCTAAAAATAAATAAATTTTAAATAACAAATAAATATATACAAAATTAAGTAGCACATCAGCTTATGAGCTCTTTATCACTTTTATAAATTATTATGAAAAGATTGTTACTCTTTCTCTGTTTTTGCTTAATGAGAAGACACCACACTTTATATTTTTCATTTTGAGACTCAAATTTAAAAATATTAATTAAGAATAATGGATATTATTTTCATTCAATTAATGTATGACAAGATGGCTTAGAGGGAATAAAGCCTCGACCACCATCAGGGCCCCTTGGCATACGAATAACATTTTCTCTAGTTTTTATTCTCTCAGCTTCTTGTTCTCTACAGGGATAACGTCTTCCTTGGTCCCAGTATCCATCTTGTGCCATTCTTCCTTCTTTACCTTTAGGTAAGCAATAATATTCAATTGAACTTCTTCTTATGTCTGAAGCTCCACTATTAGCTCTTGATCTTGATGAACCATAACCTTCAGATCCGGAATCTTTTCCTAAAGAGCCTCTACGCCCGCAATCTCCATGGCAACAGTAACAATCAGAATCTTTGCTTGAAATAGATAATCGGCGGATATCCGACAAAGATACTCGGCTGTTGGATCTAGACCTGGACCCATAGCTGTCTGAACAAGAATCGGATGACATACGTCTTACATAATCAGGAATGAAAAACATACCACTGTTAGATCTTGAACGTGAGTATGAACTTGAACTGTCTGTACCAGAATCTCTGGACCATCTTCTTTGCATCCAAGGACTTTCATTTCCTGATATGTGAGGAGAGGAACAACGTCGCTGTAGACGGAACCTCCTATCCTCGGCCTCAGAGCCACTCGCACAGGATGAGGAATAGTCCATATCGAAGGATCTGGGTACTTTTTTCATTTTCTTCTTTTTATCAACAGAAGGAGGAGCATTCAGTTCCAATACTTTCATATTTTCAGCATTTCTCCAGTTCGAATCTTTTTGAAGTGCATTATGAGCTGATTCTGTTCTTTCAAATTCTACAAGAGCCGAAATTTTTCCATTCATTTCAGGATGCTTGTTCACGAAATTCCTCACATCAGCCGGTATTGGGTTCCCGGGTCGTAATATACGGATAAGTGCGATTTCACCACAACTTTTGAACATTTCGGCTACATTTTCAATAGTTGGTTTTTCTAAAGGCAAATCTATTGCCACAACTGTTCTGGATGGAGTAGTTTGGTCATAAGGAGGTAAAGGATCGACTCTCCTAAGTTTTGTTCCAGCCTCGTTTATTTCTAATTTTTTAGATTTGGCCAGTGCGTAAGCGACTACTCTCCAGTCCTTAGCCAGGTGTTTTACTCTTTTGAAACTAGAAATCAGCTTTAAAGAAACATAGCCTTCTTTGTTTCTTTTAACATGTTTTAGTAAAAATGCATCTTTTGTTATGTTAACGTCAGAAAAATAAAATTCTACCTGATCTATAATTTTCTGTGCAAGTTCTTCATCGGGAGGAACGAATTCTTCTTCTTCAGAATTATCTGTTTTATTAACATCCATAGATTTTTTTATTTCTTCTGCAGTGCCGTCTTCTGAGAGGTCTCCCTGTATGCCCTTTTCCTCTTGCGGATGGGAGACGCTATCGACAGACGAAAAGCTGTCCTTATGCTGCACCGGTTCATGATCGGCCTGAGCGATCGTCGTCTCGTCGTCTCCTGGTGGCATGCCGGTATCCACACCAACACTCGCGCACAGCACTAACTGCCGGCGCCCTCCCCACTCCTCTCTTATATACACCGCGATTCAATGTCATGAACCTTGCCTTACTTCCCTCTAGTCTGCTTTTATCTACCTTGAATCCCTTCAAGTAAGAGCAGTTTCGGCGGTGACCTACTTACGGCCGAACCTAGAATGAAATGTTGTTTTAGCTAAAAATGTTCAATCTGGCATATCGAATTCAAACGGCAATGTTTTCTCGATTTCGAACACTTAATGAGTCCATTAAGACTTTCTAATATTATATCAACAACAAAACATGAATTATATTTCGTAAATGTTATATTTCTTTTTTTATAGTTGATATTTCAAATCTACGTAACATATCATTTAATATTTTCAAATTATAATACTAATGCATATTATTTTATTAGTCAAAATTCTATAAATTTCTAATTTCCTGAAACGAATAATATTTTCCTAGGTGCAAAAACGTATCAAGTTGTCAGGAAAAAAATGTTCTGTATGTTACTTTGTAATAATATCTTTATTAAAAAAACGATGAATTGATCAATAAAATTATATGACTTTTATTGTTAAAGACATAATAGCCATTGCCATTAAATACTTTTATAAATAAAAAATTGTGTAGTATAATTTTCAAAAATCTAATAAAATTGGTTGTAATTCGCCTTTCGGATCACTTTTATACCATATTTTTAATTTAAGGCGATTTTTCTTCTTTTTAACGAGAAAATTTTACATTAATATATCAGTATGCTATATTTTTCTGGTTTTTTGTTTATATTAATAGCATAACATTTATGGATTTCATACAGTTGATTTTTATTAACATTTAAGCCGTATTATTTTCATTAAAAAAAGGTAAATAAATAAACTAGAGCTGGGATTTTTTTAATTCGTAAGTTACTGAAACATGTTCACCTCCTAGAAACAATTGTTTTCACAGCCAAACAACAAATAACGGGACTCCGAATGATTAGAAGTTTTCGATCGTAGTTGAATCAAATTTATAATTTTATATAGAATTTATTTCTTGATTGTGTAATTTATAATTAATACAATAAGGGTCCAAATATTTTTACGAAAGGAAATATATTATTCAAAAACGGTTATTCCAATTTGTTAAACAAATTTGAAGATTTTCGATCTCCTTACAAAACTAATTCAAATTGACTAGTTACAAAACTAATTGAGTAGTTTTATTAAACAATTGACAAAAAAAAAAACAGTTATAGTCGAAAAATAAATAATTACAAATTAATAAAGAGAGTAATCATTAAAAAAAATATATTAACGCTACTAATGTTTCTACCGATTCCGATTCCGAAAATAATCAAATACATAGATAAAGCGTTGTTTCGTATTATGTTTTTCCCATATGTCTTATGTAAAATATAAACATTTTTCCTCACTCTGCACTACCTTATACAACTTTATACGTTATTAGTTTTTCTATTGTTAAACCTTTGTCTTTCCAATGATGTATTCCACTTCTATATTATTACTCTTATTTCTGGAAATTTTTTTCTACCTTAAAAATACTGTTCCTTTAGTTAATTATCAAATGATTTCATAGTTTATATATATCCATATTTTTTATCACTGATTACCATGGGATGGATTAATTATTTAAAATAAAAAAATTAAATATGCATTAAAATGCTATTAAATAATGTAAAATCGGTATTTAAATCCCGTAACACTATTCAATATGGATCAAACGTGGCTGATATTAAAGAATATTTAGTTTTACATTGGCATAGCGAGTTTAATGATCAAAATCATTTAGAGAAAATTTTAAAAATGCTTAGTATAAACTATACATACTAGTTATTCGATTTTGGCAAAAATGTTCCTGTAACGTACCAGATATACTTACTCAAATATGTACTTTCAGTTTCGTACAACTTTACGTATTTGAACATTGTTCACATGCACTGAGAGAGAACTTATGCGAGACTTGAATATTTTTACCTTTAAACTAGTGTTTACGATGAATTAATTACGTTGAGTAACTAATAATTGCTTCACAGTATTTTAAAAGTATAGGGAAATATTTAAAACGTTATTAGTAAACGTCAAGATCTACAAAAAAGTTCATGTAAATAATTGTCCAATTTCCAGCAGAAAAGCAAGAAATTTAGGTGTTTTTTTTAAGCTAGTCACGTTTTTTGTTGAATAGGAAGCGATAACATAAGAAATATTTAATTTATGTGAATAAATTTTGCTCCATAGTAAACTAGATGATATTTAATTTAAAGGAAAGTAGAGTTTGAAAAATAGAAAAATATTTTAAGAGGACTATTGAGCGGACAAACACAGTTAAGTTTCGTTTAACAAAAAGTCATGAATTATTTGTGATTTTTTTTATCAAACTTTAACGGTACTACATTTACCCCACTTTTAGAAATACTTTTTCGTTTAATAAGATATTTAAGTCCATATTAATTAAGTTGAGGTTTAATAGGGAAAATTTTGAGATTCACCTCAAGTTGTGTAAACAAATGATGTGACTTCCTATTAGTCCAATAAAGTGAGGGAGGAAAATAGCCTTACCCCAACATTCAAAAAATAAAGATGTCACTTGTCAAAAATTGTTTATTAGCCTCCCCATTATAATTGGTAAAATGTCCCAAAGAATCCCGTGTCGGGTTTCGATGGGAGAAGGGAAAGAAGGACAGAAAACTGGCATTTTTTTTTGAGAATATCTCATAAAAGATTAGGTTTTTCACAAAGACTATTCAGTACAATATTAAAGTACTATAAAATCTCTATACAAATGACACTGTACATTTTTTTGATAAAATCAATGGTTGCGGAGATATTCATGAGATTATATTTATTGCATTTTCATTTTAAGCAAAAATTTATTCGAAGTACGAAATTGATGTTGTTCATAGTAGACGATACATTTTTGAAATTTAATTATTTTTTTTCTCAACATTTTCGATCGTTCAAATCAATAATCAAAGTTTCTTTCTTTTAGTGATTCTTAAAAGTCATTGACAACAGAATTATATTCGATATCAATCAATGGGGAATTTCGTGATAATGATATAAAGTTTAAATTTACATTAATTTTATATAATTGATAATTTGTGATAGAAAACATTAGAACTTATAATTACATACAGTGAACCAGGAAACTTAAATTTTGTAATTTTTAAGCCAACCACGTTTTATGGTGAATAAAAATCAATAAATAAAAAGATGTTTAATTAAGTTACAACCAATTACTTCAAAGCAAACTAGATTAAATTTACATAAAATTCAAATAAATCTCGTCCTTTTTAAAACCATATGAAGGGGACTTTTAAGCAGTTAAACTACGGGAGTTCGGGTTTTCATAAAATCAAGGGTTCTTCGCGATTTATTTTGTATAACCCCCAACTGGACTAAAGATATACCAAAATTACGGAAAAACTTCCTTGGAAAAATAAGTTGAATAAGCTTTAAATCAATACTAATGAAGTCGATCTCATTATCACATCAATTATCACATTCCTTTACCAAATAATCAATAATCATCTTGCGTCCTACGCATACAATCTCCTACAATTCAAATCATCAATCCACACCTCTCCACAAGATCACGTCCTTCTGACCTTTACACTCCTTTACACAAATCTGCCTCATTTAAACATTCCTTTGTTATCCGTTCCACTGCATTTTGGAATTCCATACCATTAAAAATCCGCCATGCACCATCATTATCCACATTTAAAACCCTCTTATTCCAATTACTCTTCACAATTCAATTAGATGCTGGCTAAGTATATATTATGTAACAAGGTTTTAATTTTCTTTATACATTTTTTTTTTCTTCTGGTTTGAGTATGAAACAGAATTTCGATCACCTCTCACAAAGCAGTGTGAGTAGGTATAATTTTTTATTGTTTTTGTTATCTTCTATCTTTTCTATTCATAAGATTCTATTTTTTTGAAGTGTATTTTATTTTATTTAAAAGTATTTTATTTTTTACTTATCTTCTGCTCTCTCCTCTCTATGTGTGTATGTATATATATGTGTATATATGTATGTATCTATATATATATGGATGTATCTGTTTTTTCTTTTTCTGCTCGTAATCTATTGCGTCATAGGCAGATCACAATACTTGTCTACTTTTTCACAATATCTTCAAATGTTTTCACTTAAACGCTTAAGGAACATATATAAATCATTTATTTGCTCTAGTTATTTTTTTTTTATATTGTAGCACTAAAACTGGTTACCTATATAACTTATTTAACATTTCTTTCCAATTTTATTTAGTTATTAGTGTATTGTTGTTTTTTATACCAATATTATAATATTGTAACCCTTGTACCCATCTGATTTCCTTAATATACCCTCCAAAACTATGTATATACTCATTTTATTACTTAGATTGTAGTTACTCTTTATTATAATATGTCATCTGGCCAAATTTATTGTCAATTGGTTTAAACAATATTGTTATTCTTAAGGGACCTAGTCCAAGAATAAATATGATTTTCTATTTCTATTTCTATTTCTATTTCTATCCAGTGCCGTTCTGCCACTGCTGCTGTTGAAGAACGATGCCGAGCCTGTCTTAATGCTCAAGGAAATCACTTTGAACAACATTTAATATGAGTTTTAATGTTTAAATTTAATTAATAAAGTAGTTAAAACAAACAAATAGGTTTTATTTATTTCATATAACGTAAATAATGTATAACAACGAAAATCTTTAGGTGTGAATATCTCCTAAACAAAGCGTTTGCGGACATACCTTCAGAGGAATATTTTTTCTTGTTTTGAGGTCCTTAGTTCATTTTTGCAGTTTGACCACTTAATCCTGAAACACCCTGTATGTATGATATTGAGAATAAGCCCATTTGATATTGTATATATAATATTGCCCATCTGATACATCTGATATTGTAAATATGTCTGTAGCGGTAACTGGTTCCGGCTCTTGCCACAGGGTACAACTAGTTCGCCTACCCGCTACCAGGCAGCACCCTACAAGCTCGCTCGTGCA